TTTTCGAGACAGGGTTTCTCTGTGTAGCTTTGCGCCTTTCCTGGAACTCACTTGGTAGCCCAGGCTGGCCTTGAACTCACAGAGATCCACCTGGCTCTACCTCCTGAGTGCTGGGATTAAAGGCGTGCGCCACCACTGCCCTGCCATTCAGTTGTTTTAGGCTCAAACTTAAAGAGAATAAAACTATAGAATTCTGATCTTATAAAAGGTACTAAGTAGTTGTACACTGTTAAAGACAAGTAAGACATACAAGTAAATGTTCAGTCCTCCTCTACCTATGTGGAGAATGTAATAATTGCTTATAAATGCATCTAAGTGAACCATGAAAACACACACACACACACACACACACACACACACACACACACACACACCACTGTTGGAATCGGTGCAGAGAGCAAGGAATGGAAAACTGAGGACATAACTGAGAACCTTGACTCTGCTCATGGTTATGGCCTCGAGCCATGGGTGGCTTTGAGAGATTTTATTTGTAAAGACCCAGAAGCCATGTCTGTGTCATTCGGGTCAGAAGCCCCCAGCATAAGTACAGTCTTCAGACATGGTAGGTAAAGTGATTTCTTGGTGGACAGTGACCATGCCTGAGGGAACTGCTACACTGAAGGTGCCGGGCAAGGGTCACCAGAAGGGACAACAAGAGACCAGCTGAGGGTCCTGAGCAGATCTGGGTGAGGGCCAAGAAACTATACTGTAAAATATTCGATTACATTTATTTCACCTGTGCGAATATGGGGTCAGAGGACAATTTGTAGGCGTGGCCTCTCTCTCCTTCCACCATGTGGGTCCCAGGATCAAACTCAGGCCATCAGGCTTGTCAACAAACACCCATTCCCTCTGAGCCTTCTCACTGACCCTTTTAGTTGACCAGGCTCTCATAGTCACATAAGTCAGGCTAGCCTTCAACTCACAGCAATCCTCCTGCCTTAGCTCCCTAAAGGATGGAATTATGATGTGCTGCTATGCCCAGCTCGTCTATACCTCTTCTACACCTTCCTACATATCTTAAACAGTGTCACTCAGTCTAATGAGACCAATGCCCTTGGCAAGCCTGACTGAGCCAGGGTGAGCTCAGGTCACAAGGTGTAAGAGCCCAAGTCTTTAACTCTCCTGGCCACATGTCCCCATCTGTTGCTGGGGAAGCAGTATCCTCTGGAGCCCCTTGTGAAGAACTGACCAGCTCTGCAAGAAATGGCTTGTGCCTCCTGCAGGGCAACATATAGTGGAATTAAGAATCCTCGTGACCATTTTATAAAATGGTCTTTGAAATCTTCCTAATATACATTCAATGTACTTTGACAAAATTCACCCTCCCCTTCCCCCCCACTTACCATCCCCCCCAAATCCCCTCCCAACTTCATGTCACTTTTTTAGTAAATAAACCACTGAATCCGGTTAGTGTTTCTCACATTCACACCCCTAATGATAACTGACTGTGTCCTGGCTGGGTTTATGCTGACTTGACACAGGCTAGAGTCACCTGAGAAGCAAGAACTTCAGTTGAGGAATACCGCCATCATATCGGTACAGAGATGGAGAGGGCAGCCTGATACTATGCCCATTTGTCAAAATAGCTGTTGTAGGTTCGTCTCTGGGGCCTCTGATGGCCAGCCATGGGTCCTTGACCAGATGTGCAGAACCATGTTGGAGTTCTTATTGTGGAGTAGGTCTCCAATCCAGTCAGAATGTGTCTAGTGACTCCCATACCATTCCTGCCTCAACTGCACCCAGGGGTGTATCTACCAGGGCAGTGCTTATTAGCCTGGATCCCAGATTGGTGAGATACAGTAGTGGTCAATGATTTACTATTAAAAGTACTAAAGAGAGCCACTATAATTCCTATCCAGATCTACAACATCCCAACTCTCCCTCACAAAGTTCTAATTAGTTATTCAGCCTTGTAGTGTCTTATTTCCTTCTCTCTTCCTTCTTCCTCTTTCCCCAGGAACTTCAGTTGACAAGATCCTGGGGGAGGGAGGAAGGGCAACTGACTCCACCTGGGACATGGAAAGTGCTCCGGAGTATCTCCACCTGGAAGGGAGGTCTTAGCCATGAACAGAAGAGTGTGGAACTTCCAGCCAAATGCAGGAGTGGAACAGCATGCAAGGCCCTGGGAACAGCCTCTGCAGAGACCCAGAGGTGGAATAAAAACCAGAAGAAACACACAAAGGAACAGAGTGGGGTAGCTGGAGACAGACAGGGAGCCAAGGAGATGACAAGGGGGCGGGTCATTCCCTAGGGCTGCAGGGACAAAGTGTGTAAACACTCCTGTGACAGAGTGACAATGGGATTCCAGAGCAGAGTGGCTCTGGGTTAGAGACCCAAGGTCAAGACATCAGCGGGCTGGTCCCTTCCAGTGTCCCAAAGGATACTCTGCTCCTGCCTCTGCCTTCTGCTGGCTCCTGCTGTCCACTCCCTGCCTCCTCCCTCACACCACAGCACCCTGTGTGCACAGCTCTGTCAATGTCTCCATCACACAATGAAGCCAGCGGCCTCGGGTCAGGAGCCATCCTGATGACCATCACTTAGCACAGCCCCATTTCACCCTGATGTCCTGAGAGTTAGACCTCAGTCTCTCTTCTTGGAGAAAGGCTGGAGCATGTCTCAGGCTCTCTGTCCCTCTCCGGACCTGTGCAGGTGCAGGCTGGTAACCCTGTACCTGGATCCTACAGGAAGTGTGGATGCTAGGAGGTTGGTGGACAGTGTGGTAGCCTCAGCCAGCTGCTCTAAAACATGGAACAGATCCCCAGGGACTCCCAGGCCCAGATAGTCCCATGGTGCTTGTTTCTGCCACACCTTTTTACCACTAATATTTGTGCACAGCTCTGAGCCCCCTTAGCTCGTTCTCCAGTTAAGTGACCACAGCAGACCAAGGACACATTTGGCTCCTATCAATCCCCAGGGCCACGGCCCCTTGCATGAACAGAATCAGGGTGTGTGATGCCCAAGGCAGGCTTGGCATGGGGCAGATATCAGCATCATCAGACTGTTTCCTAAAATCATATGCTGTCCTGGAGTGCCCACATTGTGTGCCCCGAACAGCATGTGGGTCTAGGGGTGCTCATACTAGCTTGGTGAGACCTGGACTGGTATAAAGCAAGCTCTCTTTCTTTCTATCTGCCTCTCTCTCTGTCTCTCCTGTGTTTGGTGTTTGGTGTGTGTGTGTGTGTGTGTGTGTGTGTGTGTGTGTGTGTGTGTGTGTGTGTGTGTGTGTCTTCCTGTCTATTTGTCTGTCTGTCTGCCAGCTATGATCACCATTTGAAGATTCCAGGTTTCCAACATAGACAGAACCCCAATAACAGACCAAGATGACTATCTGTCCCACACATGTGCAGTCTCGGAACACTCATGCACACATGCACCCTGTCCTCTTGCCCACTGCTTCTGACACTCATCTCTTTGGAGAATATTCTAAAAGTGATGTGGTCTCTGGCTGAAAGTCTCCACACGCCCATGGTGGCCAGCTGCTTGCCTGTTTTCCAGCCATTTTAGCAGCATTCAGAGATGTCACAGGCTGGCAAGATGGCCCAGTGGGTAAAGCATGTGCTGCCAACACTGGTGACCTGGGCTTGATCCCTAGAACCCTGTGGTAGAAGGAGAGACCCACTCCTCCAAGTTTTCTCTGACCTTCACCTCTATGCTGTTACACAAGTGAACACACACACAAACACACAAACACACACATCCTCACATACGTTCACTCACACATTGATGCAAACTCATATGTTCACACATACAAAAACACTAACACGCTTTCACACACACCTACTCACACATACATACTCTCTCACACACATGGAAACACAGGTGCACCCATACATTCACACACATAGAGAGTGTGAAGGAGACTCACAGATTGAAACCACTGGCTCAGGGTCACTCAGCTAAGGAGGTGTGGGGCTTGGTTTCCCATGGACTCTGAAGCCAGTGCTCAGTTCCATAAGCAGCATATCTTTCCTGTCTCAGTGAGACTCAGCAGGGCTGTGCCACAGCCAAAGAGGCGTGTCGGGACATCACTTAGACCTTTCCCTTCCTAGGGCAGGGGTTTTTCTCATACTAGGGAACAGATGTTGTCATGCATGTCCTCAGATTGGAGCTTACCATGGGAGCAGTGACTTGGAGCCAAACCTCAGAAGGTCAGGAAGGAAGTGAGATGGAAATGTGAGGTGAGCTGAGTCGGGGGAGCTCACAGAATGGAGGCAGCTATGACTGCTGTGGCCTTTAGTGCTGTCCCACAGCAGACAGGTGGCGAGGCCCTCTCTTCCAGTTGGCAGAAGTGTCACTGAATGAGGGGACCTCAGGTGGGGATCCATGGACCCTCAATGGGCTGAGAGGTAAAGATGTCTGATGGCCATCTACCAAACATAGGGATGTGCTTCTTCTGAGGGGCTCCATCCAGGTGGTCAGCATGGTGCCCACCCTCAGAGTTCATTTGCATACCCTTCCTGGTAGGAACGTGGACTCCTGATATGATTGTGTGTTTTCTATTACAGACCTGAGTTCCTGAGAAAAACCAACAGGTTGGCTATTTTTCTTTGTTTTTTTTTTTTTTTTTTTTTTTTTTGTGTGTGTGTGTGTTTTTTAATGACTGTAGTAATCAGTTTATTACACAGATTAATCATTCTTAACGTACAAGCTCCAGAGGAGCAACTGGGTCTTTAAATATACACAAGTATTTCCATCAAATGAATTTTCACCCTTACATCGAAATAGGCCTAAAGCAGTTAAAAACATAAGAAAAATAAGAGCTATTAGCTATGTATTAACTGAGAAACCACATACAAACCAAAGATTATGGAAAGGGGCTAAAATGAAGAAGGCTGAAAGGGCAGGGCGACGTGAAAGTGCTGGGAACAAGGCCCACCACACTTTATGTACTAACAGCTCCAGTCCATTGAAACGTTCTTCAGTTAAACTTAGACCTTAAAAATACAGCACGCAGGCAGAGTTTAATCTGTTTGGTCATAGCCTCTACCTAAGCTGTAGGTCCTTCAGGGTGAAATGAACACAGACAGCTTCTTCTTCACCCTGCTTTGTATGACTGTTGGAGATTAGATGGATTCCACTTAAGAACAATCTCCTACGGGTCGCTGGAGCTTTGTTCCTCTCATCCAAGCACACACTGTGTACCCACTACCCCTCACATCTTGCCATTATCCAAATTTAGGTCAATAAGGAAAGCTTTTAGTCTCACACCTAGGTCACGCCCGGAGAACTGGCTTCTCACACACACACTTCTCTGCTAGGAGGCAATGTTGGTACAGAAGTACAGTATTTCTAGTTTGTTGTTCCACGTATGTACAGCACGCAGCACTGCTGTGTCAGCTAAACATGTGCACAGGGGAAGATGAGGCGTGGGCTCATAGAAAGCAGCCAAATGGAAATCAAAAGGACTCTCTCTTTCAGAGTTCCCCTAGCTTTATTTGTAGAGGTTATCCAATAATTTCTTTAATTACATCGCATACTTCTGAGTCCATTCCCGAGCTATTCTGCTGTACTTTTCTCTATCTGTTTTGTAGATCCGAGCAATCTCAGGCACTAAAGGATCATCTGGATTGGGATCACACAACAGAGAACAGATGGACAAAAGTACTTTTGAAATAGTTAGTGCTGGAGACCACTGTGACCGCAGAATATCAAGACAAATGCTGCCATTGCTGTTAATATTTGGATGATAAATTCTTGTTGTAAATGCAACCTTAGGTGGTTTGAAGGGGTAATCTGTTGGGAAATGAATTGTCAAGAAAAACACTCCACCCTGATAGGGGCTGTCCTTTGGCCCCATTATTGTAGCCTGCCAATGAAACATATCATCTCCAACAGGACCTGCTGAACACTGTGCTGGAGGGTCTCGGGCCAGGTCATTCAATTCATTGTGGATTCTCTTCAGAGCCATGGGGGGAACGGTGGCGACCGGCCCCCCGGGCGGGAACGGGGACGTGGCAGGGGACAGGGAAGGGGCGAGGGCGGGGCCTGAGACCGCCCGAGCTGAGCGAGTCAGCCCCGAGAAGACCCAGAGCTCCGGAGCGCGGATCCGACGAGCTGAGGGCCAAGGCCCGCTCAGCTTCTGGGCCTGCCGCAGCGGTCACCGCATCACCCGACGGCGGCCCCTTTATGCGCCACTGCCACAGCCACGGCCTCCTTAGCTGCCTCTTCCTCCTCGTAGGCTCGGCACCGCCTCCTCGGCCGCCATGGATCCCTCCGCCGGGGAGGAAGAGCCTCCCCAAGCTCCGGGCTCGCCCAGCGCCTCACGGACGCCGAGCCGGGGAAGGCTGCCTTCAAGCCGGGTGCAGGTGGACTAAGACACCCGCGGGCGGGCGGGCGGCGCCGCCCGTTTTTTGTGTGTTTTGATGAGGGCTTCTGCTAATTATCACAGGCTGGCCTAGATCTTTCCATCCTCCTGCCTTGTGTTGGGATGACAGCTGTGTAGACCTGATATGCCCCGTCTTCCCTCCATCCTCAGGAGGACAAGGATTGCATCCTCCTGTGAGAGCAGCAACTCCTGCCCAGAAGGCTCCGGAGTCAGGGGAGGTGCAGTGCAGGACACTAAAACTGCCTGGAATCTGTGACAGTAGTGACTTTAAACTTAGCGGTCTGAGGAATGATGAGATCTGAAGCAGTGAAGTTTAATCAAAATTCACTGAGTTAAACTTAAAACTAGTTTTCTCTTTCTTTCTTACTCTTTCATTCTTTCTGAAACAGGATCTCATTGTGTATCCAACTCTGGCCTGGAATTCACAGAAAACTGACTGCCTCAGTCACCCAAGTTCTGGGATTATACTCACCCAGACACACACTCACACACTCACACTACCCTTCACATAGAGACCTAAAGATTCCATAGTTCATTGTGATGAATACATAAACACACAAATCCCATGATCACAAAGAACCATATGTGTGATCTCATGGACTTTGCTCACTAAAGACACAGGGCATTGCTCAGACTCACCAAGACCGGCCCGCAAGTCCACTCTTTAATCACTGTGGTGGGGGAGGGTGGTCTCCCTGGCCCTCATTCACTCAGTTCTCACTCTAGTGGCTCTGAGAACCAGGAGCCCCAGTGTCTTGGGTGTGAGAACATCCATGTCCTCTCAACCACAAAATAAATCATACTCAGCCCTGTGTTCTCTCTACCCCTAGACACAATGATGCTGGTCTAAGATTCCAGGCTTGTCCCTTCTGAAACACCCCTGGATACACAGAGACCATTTTAGTAACAATGCCCAGGGGTCCCCCATGACTCCTGCCATGCTGTGGACCCAACACATCATGTTACCCCACACCAATGTAAGTCCGAGTATGGTATGTCATGGCCGCATCCCATTCCTCCATGATGGAATGACCCCCTTGGGTGGACCTTTGAGAGCAGAGAGGCAGCAGGGATGGGGGCTCAGCAGGGAAGGACTTTCTGGAGAGTTCCAGTGAGAGGCAGTGGGTGTGGCTCAGTGGCAGAGTGCTTACCCAGCATGCATGAGGCCTGACATAAAAGAATCCTCCTGAGCTGCTTGTGGTTTTCATGGCAAAGCCAAGAAAGCAGCCAAGGTCATCTGAGCTAAGCTGTTCTCTGTTTACTGGGGATTCTCTGCTTCAATTTTGGATGGCCTTTGTACATGGCCCAAGGTTAGGGTGGGATTGATTCCTGTCAGTGGAGATCCACTTTCCCAGTTCCCTCTGCAGAGGGCCTCTTCTTCCCACATGATGTGTTCTTAGTAACCTGGTCAGAAGCCAGTTAACCATTGCGATAGTTGATCCTCTCAAACATCATTTAGCCCATGTGACTCCATACAAAACTCCACAGATGAGGGGTTAAGCTGACAGCAGGCTATGGAACGCTGCTCCGTGAAGGAAGCAGTGAGCAGACATTTCTGGAAATGCCGCCACAGACATGTCCAGAGGTGTTTCCACAGAGGGTCTAAGGCTGGTGAAGTTGGCCATGAAGAGGAGCCATTGTGGGCCATTAGAAGGAACCACAAGGGATGTCCAGAGAGTGAGAGCCACGGCTGTCACAGCAGGTCCGTCCCCCAGTTACTGACCTGGATTGAGTTTCAGAGATGAACCCATTGAGTGTAGATGAAGTGGCTTCCTGGGGAACCGAACTCTGGGTAATATGGTGGACAGAGCAATGGTTCCCCTAGTTAGCATGTACTACTTACTCATTGGGTGGATGCTGGAGAGGAGGAGGCGCCTGACCTTGGGCAGAAGATCAAAGTTGAAGACTGGGTTTGGAAACCCAAAGTGTCTGTCATCAAACCCCAAAACTTCCCTGAGCAGGGTGGATGGTAAGTCAGAACCAACATAGCGCCCACAGGAAGAGCAGGGATGAGCACTGTGCTTAGGGACAAAGGGCTCTTGGGCAGGTCCAGTCTGGGTCAAGCATGAGGCTTCACCACATGGCAGTCAGACACAGTGGTGTGCAAGTGTCTACTGTGGACATCTTTCTCCATCTGAGAGATGATCTTCAGTCACCCTGTGGTCATGGAAACCTGGTCCTGCCACCTTGTGACTCCTCCCTAAGACTGCTCATCACTCATCCTGTGGCCTGCTGTCAACCTCCATGGTCTTTATCATTGGGAAGGTTCTCAGAGGTCCACACAGGGGGTCATTCCCTCATGGAGACATGGGATGTGGCCATCACATGTCACATGTATACCTGCTTTAGTGTGGGGTACATGAGGGCTCACATGAAGGGTTCTCTCAATTTGGCAGGAGACATGGGGACCCCTGGGCATTGTTTATTCAAACCTCTGTGTATCTGGGGGTGTTTCAGAAGAGGAAAGACTGGAATCATAGACCAGCATCATGGGGTCCACCAAGGGCTCAGATAGAGCACAGGGCAGAGTGTGGTGTGTTCTGAGGTCTAGGGAACATGTGTCTTCTCGTGCCCCAGGAGAGGCATTGGGGCTCCTTGTTGTCAGGGTCACTAGAGTGAGAACTGAATGTATAAGGGCTGGAAGGACACACACACACACACACACACACACACACACACACACACACAGATATTAAGAGAGTGAGCACTGGGAACATAAGCATGCTTTGGGAGCGAGTGACTATTTGCAATCCCCTGAACTCTTAAGTAAGCAGGATACAAGAGGTGAGCGTACATGTGTGTCTTTGGTTCTGACTAATGAGCCACTGGTTCACAACACAGAACTATGGAACCATTAGGTCTCTGTTGGAGGGTCGTGTGTGTGTGTGTGTGTGTGTGTGTGTGTGTGTGTGTGTGTGTGTGTTCATGTGTGTATGTGATTCCAGAACTTCGGAGACTGAGGCAGGAGGATGCCTGTGACTTACAGGCCAGCCTATGTCACAAAATGAGATCTTCTCTCAGAAAGAGAATAAGGAAGTGAACACTCATTGTGGTTTAACTCAGTTCATGCAATGCTTGTCATCACCACAGACAACCATATTTCTATTTTTGTGACCACCTGAGTCACAAATTCCATCCACTTTTTTTTTCATGCACTTCCTAAAACCCCAGCCTGCATGTTTCGACCACAGTGCATCTTCACATGCACTGCTCACAGTCCCAATGCCTCTCAACCATGTCCTGCTGGGGAACTGTTCCTGTGTCACATGGGGCAGGTCTAGAATTTGTCTTGGGGACATGGACAGAAGGAACCGAGGATTCCTGTCTGAGGTTTGTATGAAATAAAGGAACTGGACAGATGCTAAGCTGCCTGGCATCAAAGCCGTACTGGATTGGTTCTGCTTGGTGTTTGTTTACTATGGAGTGTGCTGTGCCTGGGCCCATGAGAAACATGTAATATGTGCTCAATAAATGCATCAGGTTGAACCATGCACACACACACACACACACACACACACACACACACACACACACACCTATACATCTATGACTCATCTCACACACCCTCATGGATCTGCTGTAGTTTATTGTTGTTGATCAGACATAGGACAGAACCTTCTAATCGGTGCAAAGACAGAAGTCAAGCTGGAGTTTTTTCTCCCCATCTGAATCTCTTGTCTCCCAGAGAACACATCAGAAAATAAGGCAGATGAAGCAGGATAAGGCAGATGAAGCAGGCTTTCAGGAAGAGTGTCTGTGAAGGGACAGGATGGAAGGGTCAGGGGTCAGGGGTCACAATATTGGAATCCGACCCCAGGTTGGAGACTTACTCCCTGGGCCCTTGGGCAGCATCCTGCCATCTTTGGTCAAGGCCTGCAGCAGAGGAGCACATAGCCTGACTCCGGAGCCTTCTGGGCAGGTGCTGCTGTCCTCACAGGAGGACTCAATCCTTGTCCTCCTGAGGCTGGAGGGAAGGCACGGTACATCAGGCCTACACTGCAGTCATCCCAGAGTAAGGCAGGGGTCTGGGGAGCTCCAGGCCACCTAGAACTACACAGCAGAAGCCCTCATCAAAGCAAAAACAACAGAGAAAAATAGCTAACCTGTTACATCGGCACAGGAACTTCGGTCTGTAATAGAAAACATACAATCATGTCAGGAGTCCGAATATCACTTGGAAGGGTGTGCAAATGAGCTCTGAGAGTGGGCACCATGACTGGCAACCAGAACCCATCAGGAAAAGGGACAGCATTTATCCATTGGGACGATGGCCATCAGGACTTTTTTTGGGGGGGGGGGGGTTTCAGCACATTGAAGATGCATGTGGCCCCACCTGAGGTCCCCTCATTCAGTGACAGATCTGCCAAATGGGAGAAAGTACCTAGCCACCTGTGTGCTCTGTGACAGCCCTGGAGGCCACAGCAGCCACAGCTGCCTCCCTCCTGGGTCTCCTTTTCTTTCTTAACTGACTTCTGAGGTTTGCTTCCTACACACCTGCACCCGTACAAAGCTCCATGCTGAGGCCACACCTGACCTCATCTGTTCCCTAGCATCAGAAGAACCCCTGCCCTAGGAAGGTAAAGTCCAAGTGCAGGTCCCTCTCTGCCTCTTTGTCTGTGGCACAAATACCCACCCACCCCCAGTACCATTGACCCCAAGACAACAAGACAGGAAAGATGGGCTGCTTTCTGGACCTGCGCACTGGCTTCAGAGTCCACGGGAATCCCAGCCCCACCACACCTTAGCTGATATCTGAGCCTCCTTTTCACACTCTCTATGTGTATGTGTGTCAGTGTGTGGGTACACCTGTGTCTGTGTTTACATGTGTATGTGAGAGTTTCGATGGGTGTATGGGTGTATGAAAGTGTGTGTGTGAGCATATGCATTTGCATGAATGTGTAAGTGAATATATGTATATGAGAATGTGTTTGTGTGTGTGTGTGTGAGTGTGTGTGTGTGTGTGTGTGTGTATTCACCTTCAGAGGTGAGGTTAGAGGAACACATGGAGGAGTCGGTCTCTCCTTCTACCATAGGGTTCTAGGGATCAAGCCCAGGTCACCAGTGTTGGCAGCACATGCTTTACCCACTGGGCCATCTTGCCAGCCTGTGACATCTCTGAATGCTGCTAAAATG